GGAGCGCGTGGTGCCCATCGTCGAAATCGACGGGGGAACTGTCGTGTCGTGTCGTCGTGCGAGTTAATGTAAGTCCAGCGGTTTAAGGTCATCGAGTGATGTCAGTCCCCGGCGCAGACACCTGAAATTGAGGCCGCTCACATTGAACAATATAAGCTGTCGGCCACAGGAGCGATTTGTCAGGCCAGCCTGCAAGGTTATGCTTGCAATCGGTTAGGCTGACTCCTAACCCTAATCACTACGCCGCGTGCTCGTGGTTTTTGCAGTTTAGATCGGGACATTAACATAATCGGATTATAGTTAAGCTAACTCTTCGTGTCATTCACGCTTGTGCCCCTGCAGCAGTCACACAGCAGCCAATAAGCCAGAAATGGCCAGTCAGTTCTCCCTGTCTTTGTCATTTTTGAATTGGAGGGGCCTGAATTCAGTCACCGAATATATAACTATGATGCAATTATGCCTATATCATAAGCCGCTGTGTGGTTGCTGACGGAAGTCAAGACTGGGCACAAAAATAGGACGGATCACGGGCATCCCGTTCCCGATCGATGAGCTCCTATCTACTATTATGGTATACCCAGTTTTGTTACTTTCATAAATTTAATTTTTTAATTTATATTTCCTTTTTTCGTATTGCACAGACTGTATACTCGTTATTTTACCCGGTTCTACATTGCAAAAGAGTGGGTCTTTCGCGTGCTGATCTGGGACGTAAACTAGGATTCTACCCACAGGTACTCTGCTGCCGGAATATCACAATGGTATTTGCAACTATCTTCTGCCTACTTACACTGAAGCATAATTTCATTATTGATCGGGTAACTGATTGCGTTACAGAGTCAGCTCGTACTTTGGTCTTGAATTGGATTTAGGGCGTCATTGGCAGCCTGACAGCGACCAACTGTATAAACAGAATGAGATTACGGACAAAAACACGGGATATTAGAATGACCATTCCTAGGGAGTCGTCTTCAGTCCGCTATACCCGAACCTAGGCACCTACGATTGAAGTCAGCGTTTCTGGATTAGAATGTCTTCAGCCAGACTTACCTTCTTTGTGGATATTTGTTCACTGATATTGCCGAACCATACCCCTTTGACGCATGTCTGAGAGGCTTGGTGCTCGATGAAGTATTTACACTCTCCCTCCTCGGCCAGGGTGAGTTGAGAGCGTTTAAGGTAGGCCGGTCTTTCCATGCATAGCATGTTGAGGGTTTTTGGTGGATCGTTGCTGTAGCACTCGTCAAGGATGTTGCAGGCCATGATTTCGTAAAATCTAGAGGTGTATAAAGCCAATTACAGAGAGACAATATTTGGTATTTTAAAGTGATTTACTACCGCCAGCAATCAGAAGGGTTTTCAAACATGAAACTAAACAGAGGAATAAGAAGACGTAGCAGACTACTGCCCTGAGGCTACAATGATAGGTAAGTGTCCTCTAGCCGATAATAAGATCGGAAGCTCCCCACACCTGGAATGTTCAGTTTTTCATAGATCCCTTCTGTGGCTCTTAATTTTAATAGATCCGATCGTTCTGATGTTCTAACACCGAAAAAATGTAGCCTTAATTTGGAATGCCAGCCTCCTCCTCGTCTTTCTCTTACATAGATGTAGCCGAGTGGTAGCTATTTGCAAAGAGAACAACGAGCGTACGTGAGCACATACCGGCCTGGTTAAGTAAGGGGGAAAATAGATCGATCTCGCGTTCTATTTTCACACATCTTGTCGAAGAATGATAGAGTCGATACTAATGAAGCTTTTTAGTTTGTCTACTGGACACCAGCTAATGTTTCCAAGGGTCAACGCCAATGGATGCTTGCAACAGTCGAAGCTGTGGCTATACGGCTAACGAATCCAGTGCTGTGTTGTCAGAAAACGCTGAGACAAGCCCTTGCACTTCCGTGGTGGACCCCGACGCCAGGCGGCGATCGCATTTCGCCCTCACCCCCTAGTGAAAGCCGTTTGCTTCGTGTAAATAGCAGCATTATCACTCCATGTATCTGACGTCTGATCACCGCCCACAACCTAACCGAATTTCTTCCACTCCCCTCTCCTGTTCTCCCCCCTCCCCAAAAACAGGAACCTCTACACACCGACCTCGCGGGCGTCGTCTAAACGATGAATTGTAATCAGACTACCCTTATAAAACCCTGCCCAACTGTACAGTTTTCATTACGCCTGCAAATGTTTTGGCCTAAGGAAGATTTACTGAAACATATGTCTGCCAAATTGACTTCTCAAATTAAGCATGGGAATATTCGCAAAACTTTAAATTGTATTTATTTACAACTTTGTCTTTCTTCCATTTAATACGCCTTTCTGCAACTTGTATTTTTTTCCCTTTTTCCAAAGTTTGCAAATAACTGTTTGCCGCTTACCCGTTTTCATGTCGAATCAATAGCGAATATATTGCTACTATTGTTGTTTTTCACTAGACCGGGCAAGAAGTCGCTTTCTGCATATCTATGGTATTGGATTCAGCTTAGCTTGACGTGTTCTTAGTGTGGGATAGCAGTAGCGATTGCCTGTCTCACAGATATAACAGTCGTGCGATCCCCTAGCCTTCTGCAAATCAGTATATTTATGTATCAGTATATTTAAGGGAGATGTAAGTGGGTTGCCTTTTAGTTCCCTATAGTCGGCCTTATCTAGTACGACTGCTCCCGTCATTCTTGTGTCCGTAGTACCTCGGCAGTTCTATCAGTATGGCCTCCCAGTAATTCATAAACAGAGCGTGCCACTTCGTCCTATCTTGGACATGAGAAACTCACCTTACCACTCAATTGAAAAGTGGATTGTCATAAAATCGCAGCTGCTACAAAGCTATGTGTACCCCAGAAGCCTGAACGACAGGTGAACTCCTGAAAAGACGCCTTGACGAGGCCGTGTCACGAACTTT